CAGGAATGGTCATGACAAAACATTTTCCTGTCTCTTTTCCCCTTAACTAATAATTCTCTATCAAACTTGCCTCATATCATATCAGCTTGACTTTGAAAAATCATTGACTCTGTATTTCAGAAGTTTTAGGTTTATAGGTAAATATCAAAGACAGTTAGATGAACCAGTATTGATAGTCCACACTTCAGATTTCCTGCGTTTCTCCCAGTGTTCCCTTGCTGTTCCAGGATCACATCGAGGATGACACACCTCATGTAGTCGTCAGGTCTCCCGAGCCTCTTCTTGGCTGTGACAGTTTCTTAGACTTTCTTTGGTTTTGATGGTCTTGACAATTTTGAGGACTGCTGGTCAGCTGTATGGCAGACTGTCCCTGCTGGGATTTGTCTGATACCCTTCTCATAATTAGACCTGGTTTGGGGGGTTGGGAAGGAAACCACAGGCATCAAGTACAATAGTCATTATGAGGTATCAAGGGGACATACTATTAACTGATGCGAGTTGTGACCAGAGCTGTGAGGCAGTGGATCAGGGTTCTCTACTGCAGTGGCTCTTTCCCCCATTCCAGATGACAGACTCTGGAAGGAAGTCCCTTCCTTTAAGGCAGGGGAGCATCTACAGAAATTGTCTGGGATACTTCTTTGTAGGAAATGTGTGTCTCCTCCCTCAAATTCACCAGTAAGCTTTGGAATTCATCTGAGAAAGAATCACAATACTTCATGACAGGCTGGGTTGACAGGTGTTATCAGGCAAAAAGTAAATATGTAAAAGTTTGTTTTGATTAATTTATTATTAGTATTCTCAGAATCTCTACTGTATGCAGCCCCATTCATTATATTTTTTAGAAAAAATACTTGAGAAACTATCTAAGAACCCCAACAAGACTGTGCTGTAAAATAGTTACTAAAAGAATTTCGTTTCAGTTAAAATCCTAGGAGATGTGTTAGAAACAAAAGTATTTATTTGGGACAATTTTTAAATAATTTAAAGAAAATTATTAAGTTTTTTTAAACTACATTCCAGAATCTATGTGAATATGTTTTATTTGGGAAAATTATGTATTTTTGATTATAAAGAAGGTAAGCCTTGTTTTCCTTATAAGAATGCACTTTGTTAAGGAAAAAAATGTTTAATCCTTATTTCTTTTTTTAAACACAGAAGACTCCAGGTTCTAGTCAGTTTTTGCCTTTAAATGCTCATTACAAAATTCCAATTTACTGAGTGTATAATAGAAGTCCATAAATCAAAAGAGTTGTATTAAGTGAGAAGGAAAAAAGGTTACTTTAGTTGTTAATCTCCTTGGCAAATACTGCTTCATACTTTGTAAGGAGAATGTAAAGCAGCCTTTTAATATGCATTTTCGAGTAAAGTAGGTGTATTTTTTTCTTGTCTGAAGAACGAGATAACTATGGGTGTAGCACAGGGCATCTCTGGGATTTAGTCTTTACTTAGTAAACATTACGGCCTCAGAAGTCTGTTTTTTGTTTTTGTTTTGTTTTGTTTTGCTTTTTTTTTTCCTTGTCTTTCAGTCACCTCCAGAGACTGTCTATAATACTGTGTTGTTTTGAGGGTTTTTAGCCACTCAAGACATAACTTTTCTCAAGGTATTCTAAAGGGATTTGTGCCTTATTTTAACATGCAAAATTAACTTTTATTCCACATTAAAAACAAAAGCAGGGAAAAAAAGCGACATGTTATTCTTGATAAAAACCCAGAAGACTAGTTGCAAATATTGGTATTTGAAAGCGTTCAAGTAGTAAGTAGTCCAAGTCTGCTCTTAAACTTGACTCCAGTGTTATGGCAGAGATATGGGAAGGAAGTGACGTTACAGTGAATTCTGAACTAAGCAAATCAAAGTGTTTCCTTCTTTTCTACTGTGGCCATATTTTCTATGGTAACTAAACCAAATATTTGTAAGCTCCTTGCTGTTTGAAATTATTTTTCACAGAAGCAATACCTGTTCTAAACAAAATTGTGTAAACGAATGGCCTTTTGCTGTGGTATACAGTCTTTTTTATGGTCTCTAAATGGAGCCATGATTCTTCCTGAACCCCATGCTGGCTTTTCTTCTTTTGCCTTTTGGTATTGCATCCATGGTATCTCAGGATGAGAACAGAGGGACAGAGAAGCAGTGTGAATTTAGGGGCCACTGTTTTGTTTAGTGATCACGATGCTACTCGGTGTATTTTGAGGATTACCTACATTAGCAAACATTTGAATGGCACCAAATATAGCATGATTATTTTTCAATTAAAAATTAATAGCTCACTTATTTAGAAAATATTTATTTTTGCACCATCATATGCAAGGTACTGTAACTAAGTGGGTGACGAAATAAAATGATTGACACTGTCCCCACTCTGAAGGAGCCAGTTAAAGAAAATGAAATGGCAAATCTCTGTTATAATAATAATAATAATAATAATTATAACAACAACAACAACACATCTTGCTTAGAAGTTATTAGCCTAAGACTAACAAGAGACATATTTGTTATGGCTGTTTAAAACAAGTTCTATGCACAGACTTGTAGTACCATTTCTAATTTCATGAATTTTTAAAATTATGCTAAGTATCAAAATGCTGCTACATGACTCATTTCTAAAGGGCAGATTCAGAGACTGTTTGAGAAGCTGAGTGTCCTGGTGTATCTGACTCTCTGGCAGCCCAGGGCACTTAACAATGGAACTTGATGCTCCTTTGTTGTTCTTAGGGAGGCCACTACTCAGCGGAGGAATAACAGGGGGTGGGTACATGTTGATGGGAATCCGACTTTTACTATTTTCATCTTGATGATAGCATTCTCTAGAAACAGTCTCTTTCTTTCAAATTAAACTGTATATGACAGGTACAAGGATTCTAGTATCTTAAAAACAGGATCCAGGGATGCTAATGAACTACTTGTTTCTTAACTAAGATGAAGAAATAGACTTCTGTTCAAGAGGAAAAAACTGTGACTATTCTCACAAGAAGTAGATTTTCATTCTCTTCTAGAAAATTCAGATGTTCAGGAAAAGACTGATTATTTTCATGAATACATTTTCTAATGCAAATTCCATTTTGTTTGGCATAAAAGACCCTGAATCTGAGAAGACATTTGTAAGTCAGGATATAAACTTAGAGATCCAAAATGAATCCCCAAAGCGAATTTTCCCCAAAGCATTTCTTAATGTAAGAAATAGTTTTACAGACCCTGTATCAGTGCTCATCTAATTCCTATGTGAAGTCCAGAGATATTGTTAGCGTGATGCTCCTTAAAGCTGTTTTAAGAGGCAGAAAGGTGTTGAACAAACCTCTTACCATTTGTGAATTGGTTGAGAAATAGGGAATTGCGTGTGTTTAGACAGAATCATATTTTATTTTGAAAATAATAGGATTTTGTGCAATATTTTTTTTTGCCTAATTTAGTTCAAATAAGTACGCACATCTGCCTCTTACGGTAGATGCCTTAAGGTCATGTTTTTCAGTATTTGCATAAAATTGTATGTAGCAATGTTCTGTGTGATTTTAGAAAAATATATATGCTTTATATTATTGGCACGAGATATGGTTTTGTTTATTTAAAATAATTGTGGATATTGCATTATTGTATTATAACTAACTGCCTCAGCCACCATAAATATGCAATAAGAAAATCCTGTACCTTAGATTAGTATTGACAATACTGTTACTTTGAAAGAAGTGAGTATGGTCCAAAGTGCTGATTCTATTGAATCCTCGTGTATGTTCAACAAAGTCTCAGTTCTGGGTCACAGGTACCTAAACGGCATTTGTACGGTGATGACCACATGTGGAGATTGTAATATTCTTTGTGATGAATCTTTGCTAAGATTTATAAAGGGCATTGCCAATACTTTTGGACTGTCTGTAAATTAAGTTAATTTTTTGTATGCTGTACAGTTTGTTTAACCTTAGAGCTTCTCTAGATTTCTACTTTTATTATACTTGAATGAGGCAGAAAAGCACTGTGGAAAATCTATAGCTCCGGATGTGATACACGAACATACCAAAAGAATAAAACAAGCTACTGAACAACAATAGTAACAGAATTCTTTCTCTCCAGAAAGGGATTTTTGTTTTCCAAGCCACGTTTTGGTTAAATGAAGTAATGGAAGATAAACAAATCTTTTATCTTGAAATGTCACGAAGTCACAAATGATTACCTCTTTGATGTGATGACCCTGGAAGTCTGTTCATCTCTGTGTCATTTCAGGTCTCCTATAAGAGCTCCATGGAGATCTGCTAACAGATCCACCTTCTGGATGGCATGTTTTCAGGACAGGACAAAAACTAAACCATCGTGCATGCTGAATGCACACACGTCAGGCCACCCTCCTTCAGGTAGTAGAAGTCCCATAAGATTATTTTGGGAACTACTTAATAATAACATACCAAAATCTAGACTTCTTGAACCTGGTATGACTTAGTGCTTATAGCAGTGCCTAAAACAACCACAAATAGGAACCGCATGAGTCCTACAACTTAAAATGCATAAAGCCTTTTTACATAAAAGCCACAGGAGGGGCTCAAAATTGAACTTTTCCAAAGCTGATTTTTTTTTGCTTTAGATGAAGAACTGTTTAAAAGGACTGAAAATTGAGCTTTGTGCTCAACATGGTGACAGACACCTGTGAAAACCTCTCCAGCATTGAGGTTTGCTTCATTGTTCTTGCATCCTTGAGGCTCCGGTATAAATCATCTTCAAAGTTGACTGAGAAGATGTTGTGTACAAAAATATTGCTTTGGGAATTTTTTAAATATGCAAAAGTATTGGATGAACTCTACATTGCCATAAGATACCCAACAACGCAGTTATAAAATAAAATTGGTCCCAATCAAACTTTGCATGGTGCTGACTCTTCTTTATGGTATGCAAAAGTATTGGATGAACTCTACATTGCCATAAGATACCCAACAACGCAGTTATAAAATAAAATTGGTCCCAATCAAACTTTGCATGGTGCTG